AGCACACCTGGGCTCTCCGGGCCACTTTGCCTGCAGTCGGTGCCAACTACACAGGACTCTCAGGAATTGTTCTTGTTTCATTTGCTAACTGTTCTTTTGTCATCATACAGAAATACAACTGATTTTTGTAAATTGACCTTATAGTCTGTGACTTAGGTAGATTCACTTCAGGCCAGGTAACCTTCATGGTTTCTCCTCAGCCCCTAAGATTCTCTGATTCTTTGACCCAATGAGGACAGGAAAGCATCCAGGACACTACTGTATGGGGAACGTGACAGGCAGCAACTTCGGGAAATCTGGTGTTTACAACTGTAACCGTAGATTTCATAGTAAAATAGGTAGAAGTTCTCAATTCCCAAAGTAAAGAACTACCCGGTCAACCCCTCTCACCTTCGCTCCCATTCCCCGGAAGGCTCGTCACTTTTTCAAGACCCGGGTCTCCTGACCCTCAGTTTGCCACCAACAGCCAGGTCAGTGATGGCTGGTAAGACCTGTGTCTGCTTTCACTCCTACTCGGCTTGTCCCTTGCCACGGAATTGACTTTCTTCCAAATTTAAAATTTAGCCGAAGTTGGGTGATACATGAAAAATGTGCTATGTTTGTGGATTGTCAGAGGTCCTTGATCCAGTAATGTCCCTTCCTGAGTTAATATGAGCTGTGTGTGCATCATCCCCTGGCGGTCATGAATCCTGGGAGGCTCTTGGCTTTGAAGGAGCTAAACCTTGTTACCAGGGAGGTAGGGGGTTTGGGGGTTGTCGTGGGTGGAGCAAAGCTAAACACGCATTTGAAAGGTATGAGTAGAGTATTTTCTAGACGCAGACTGCAGTAGTAGTCGTCGATCCATCTCGAGAGCAAAGAAAGCACGTAGAGAACGCCGCACAGCGATGGCAGAGCGCCAGAAACAACCCACATATCCTAAGAGATGGGTTCAATAAATCCTGGTGTAGGTATCTCATGGAATAATACCATGTCGCCATTAAGAAGAATGGAAGAAGTGTTTGTCAAGAATATGTTTCTGGGGCGCCTGGGGGGCTCAGTCGTTAAGCGTCTGCCTTCGGCTCAGGTCATGATCCCGGGGTCCTGGGATCGAGCCCCACATTGGGCTCCCTGCTCGGTGGGGAGTCTGCTTCTCCCTCTCCCACCCACTCCCCTGCTTGTGATTCCCTCTCTCACTGTCTCTCTCCCTCTGTCAAATAAATAAATAAAATCTTTAAAAAAAAAAAAAGAATATGTTTTTAAGTAAAAAAAGCAAGTTGCAGAAGAAAAGTACTATGACCACATTATTCTGAGGGTACAAGTATCAGAGTCCTAACTCCTAGATGCACCCAGACCTGGGAGACAAGCACAGACTCATGGAGAAGAGTGAATGAAAGGCTCCCCCAGATGAGGGGAAAGAACAGTCTCGGACAGTTTCAGCCTCCAGCTCTGCTCTGAGAGGCTGGCTCGACTCTCCATGGTTGGGTTTGGCAAAATTCCCATTTCATACCGAAATTCACTGAGGACCAGCGTCCATCTCTCCATCCCGACCGAGTGGAAAGCAAACGCGCAGCCTGCGGTCCTGCCCCCATGTGGTCCTGGGGCTGGCCTGCCACGAGAAGTGTCAGTAAAGCAACCCAGTTTTCTCCTTGTCGGCAGCTGTTCGTGGGGAGCACCCCCAGACCATGGGCGCAGTAGGAACAAGGGGAGGCAGCCCCGTGCCTGACGCACTGTTGCCACTTGCTGACCACTGGCTGTGCTGCTCGACGGGCAGAGGACCCCCCCCCCCCCCCCAGTTTATGGTGGGAGCTCAGGCCGCATGGCCGCTCGGCGTCTCATGGTTCGCTCTGTCTCTGCCAGGCCCAGTAGCAAGCCGTTCGCTCTGTCTCTGCCAGGCCCAGTAGCAAGCCGGGAACTGTTTCTCGGAAGACGGTCACTGCCTACAGGAGAAGGCGTGGGTTCTCGCTGCTGCTTTTCTCAGCCCCCGACGTGTGCCCTAGGAGTCTCCTGCTGGTGCTTCGTGGGGCTTCGTACAGGATCCCTCGTGTGGACGCTGCTGATGACAGGCCCGTGTGGACGAGGAGCCTGGACTTGCTTCCAAGCCTTCCCTTGCTCTGGTCGCTCTGGAAACAGCTTTCAGGGGCCACTCAGCGAATGTGTCAGGGTAGCCACTTGGTGCGTGTTGCTTCCAAAAGACCTCCCCCTCGATGTGTGGCTTGCAGGGTGTGTGCAGAGCAACAACCTGAATTTCCCTTGCAGGGGCTGTTGCTAATGCTCCCAGCCTCCCCTCACCCTGGAAACTCACCCCCTGACTTCCTTACGTCTCACGGAGGCATCATCTGGAGTATTGCTTCTTCTTGCCTGTCAGCTCCAGTCAGCACGGTACCCTCGGTGTCGTGGACCAGGGTGGTGTGCGGAAGGTCTAAAGGATGAGCGTCTCTGCAGACACTTGAAGGCAGAGAGCTGGAGGGCAGCACAGCCTCCAGGCACATGGTGAGGGGGTCCTGTGCCAGGTCCAAGCAGAGACTGCTTCTGGGGTTCCTTGAGAGATGCTGTGGAGAGAAAGTATGTGTCCGGGCAGTTGTGGCAGGTCCCCCAAGATGCCACATCAAGAACAGTCACTGCAGTTAGTCACCACGTGATCGAGTTGACAGTAATTCACGGCTGATCTAGAGATACAGTTAGTTACAGGCCAGACAGGAAAGGCCTGGAGCCAAGAGACAGCAGCTTCTTACGTGGCCCGGTGGAGAAGGAGGATGTGTCCCAGCCCTTCCAGAGAAGCCTGGTAGTTCAGAGAAAGATAGGAGTTAGTGCTTTCAGATTCTAAACAGTGATACCTCAGGAGTGATGAGAGGCTCAAAATTAAATAAAACTTCCCAAGATTGGGGGGGTGGGGAGCATCAAGAACGACACAGGCCTTCCCTCACAACGGCAGTATGACTATTTTTAATAGAATGTTTGTTCTAGAGTAGTTTTAGATTTATGGAAAAACTGGGAAGTGAGTCTGGACTTCCCAGGCACCCCATGCCCCGGTTCCTCCATTCCTGCCATCTGTCATCAGTGTGGAAAACACTTGTCACAATTCACGAACCAGTATTGATACAGGATTATCACCTAAAGCCCATGGTTCATTCAGATTTCCTGACTTTTTACCTAATGTCATTTTTCTGTCTGAGGATCCCACCTAGGCTATCCTGTGACATTGGGTCACCACGTCTCCTGAGGCGCCTCTTGGCTGTGGCAGTGTTTCAGACTTTCCTTGCTCCTGTGGCCTTAACGGTTTTAAGGGGCACTGAGCAGATCTTTTGGAGGAGACCCCGCTGTTGGGATTTACCTGATGTTTTTCTCACCATCAGATTGGGATTATGCGTTTTAGAAGGAAGACCGCAGAGAATAAGGTGTTATTTCATCCTCTCCTACCAAGGGTGCATACACTTAGTACCACTGTTGACCTTAACATGGGTCACCTGGCTGATGTGGTCTTCCTCAGGTTTCTCCACGTCCATGCTGGTCCTCCTAGGAAGTTACTGGGCACAGCACACGCATGCAGCGCAGGGCTGCGCTCCACCCCCTGAGAGCACAGTAGCTATGTAAGTTAGTTGGAATGCCTCTGCAAGGGACGTGGTCCTTTCTCTCCCATCATTTACGTCAGCATTGATTTGTGAACATATGTATCCTATTCAGTTATGATCCATCACTATTTTGTTGCTCAAACTATTTCAGTCAGTATAACTTTTAATAAGACCCGAGAGCAGATGAAGGGGGGAAACAGGCAAGCATCCGAGTAAGTGACTGTGTGCTAAGCCCACGTTCTTAGAACACGTAGAAAATAAAGAAGGAAGAGCATAGTATTAAAGCAAGCTCAGAGAGGGGCATGACGAGGAGGGGCCACCCAGGATGGTCTTAAGCGGGGACTCGAATTGAGGTCCACAAGTGGAGAGGGTGCAGGGCTTGCTTATTTTAAAAGTAAGAAGAGGGGGGGGGCGCCTGGG